TTTGTCATAATAAAATTTCCAATAAAAATCATGTCTCACTTTTTTTTTTTAACCATGTATAATAATTTTTTCTTATTTAAAGTACAAAACAAATACTTTTGATCCGTTTCAAAAAAAAATTACAGGGAATGGCCTCAAACTTTTGAATTAGTAAGATATATATATATATATATATATATATATAAAGAAATATAATGTAAGTGGTTCCAAGGAGAGAAAAGTATGTATATTAAAAGAAGAGAAGAGAGGTGCAGCAAACGTTTTTGGTTGTAATGTGGATTTATTTAGAAAAATATTATAAAATGTCTCATATCGAGAATATTTAACATTGAACATGAGGAAAAATTAATTATCTTTAATAATATGTGGAAATCTCCACTTTTACCTGAAGACGGTCGCGAGACCAGAAACACGTGTCGTAAAATTATGTAAAAAACAAAAGCATAATATTTTTTTCTAAATAAATCCACATTACAAAAAGGAAAAACGTTTGCGGCACCTCTCTTCTCTTTTTTTATATATATATATATATATATATATATATATATATATATATATATATGTTTTTTTTTGTGTTTGTGTGTGTGTGTGTGTGTATATTCTGTGTTTTTGTATGAAGGGAAAATCAGAAAGTAGATGTTCTCCAAATTTAAAACGTTATCGGTCCTAATTTAGCATCTCGTCTTCAGTTGCTTTCCTCCCACCGTAACGTGGCTTTACTGTGTCTTTTCCATAAATATTTTCACTGTAACTGTTCTGATAAGCTTTCCTCTTTGGGGACTAGTTAATATTTTCATAGAGACAAAGAGGTATTATGGTGGTTGGAAAAGAAAAGGAACGAATGAATGTGTTGTTTTGGTGTAAGGAATATTGTTTCGTAAGATCGGGCCAGTGTTTGCGGCTATAAAGTTATAGTTAAGACAGAAGAAGACCGTCCTTTCCCCAATCCCCTTTTCGGCCTTGTGCCACATTTCTGTATTGTACAGAATAAATATCGCTTTCCTCTTTGGTACCTCGACTTTACGAATTTGAGCGCAGTGCTAGATTGGCTGTTAGGTGTCATAATTTCACCGTTGAAATTGATCATTACAACCGTAAATTCTATGCTAATAGCTTAACTTCTGGATTTATAAGTTTTGGAAATTTTCATCCAATTTTGTTTTTCCTGTCAACTACGATCTTCATAAATTTAAATTTCATTTCAATCGTCATCTCCTGTCTCATTATTGGTCTTTCTGTTTCTTTCACTCTCCGTGTCTGAGTGGTTTTTTATTGCCTTGCTTGGTGTTGAAAAGATTAAAAGATATGATGGTAATTGTCAGCTTAGCTGAATCCTTATAGGGAAACATTCGGTATTCATTGATTTAACAGTTAGTATTATCGTAGTATAAAAACTATAACAACTTTCTGATAAAAGTTTTCAAGGAAAATGGGTTTCTAAAGTCCACTAACTCTTATCGCTCTTTCAAGTAGTGATGGGAGTTTCCTTTTTAACATTTTATTTTATGATGTGTGGAAAAACTACATCTTGATTATGTCATTATTTTCTCTTCGACTTACCTTGTGTCATCCAATTGTGTTGTTACTGCTATTGAAAGTCTCAAAATGTCTTGGTATCTGTATTTGTTTTTTTTATTCTTTATAATGTCGTACCACAATACTCTTGAATCTGAACCATTCCTAGAACTCTACCATTCCTAGATATCAGGCTACATAGAACTAATAATAACCCTCAGTTGGAAGATTACATAAAATGTACCAACAAGAATAACCTTATCAATTTCTATTATCACCACTGTTACAGGATAAAATTTGGAATAATAATAGGATCCTGTTTGAAAGCACTAAGAATCTGCAGACCACAATACTTACCCGAAGAAAAAATATACATAAAAGCAGTTTCAAAAACCTGTAATATCCTCATTATTTCATCCACAGGTATACAAAATACACAATCACAAAAAAAGATGCTGACATTAACAACAACAAAAATAACAATGACAATAAGATAAAAACAGATATGTAATACTGCCAAATAACACTTACCATGATGATCAATTTATCCAATTTTAACAATATCAAAATAATTACACCCAAATCCGTAACTATTAAGGATATTATTAAATATTCATAGCAATAATTCTGAAGCAGGTATATATAAAATAAACTGTTACACTTGCTCCTCACGATATACTGGGGAAAATTCAGTAATTAAAAAGAAAGTAATCGTGAAGAAAAAAAAAAGGATCTTATACACAATAATTTATCAAATGCATTAGTTACATAGGAATAAATTCAACCACAAATATTTTTTTCAAATATCTCCGTTCCTGACTATAAAAATATTAAAAAATTTAAAAGAAAATGGATACGTTCATAATCTATTATTTTAATTATTTAATACATAGATTAAGCTAAAATAATATAAATATTAATTATATCATTTAATAAAGAAGAAAAGAAAAATATTAACTCAGTTTTCTTTATTAGACATTAAATTACGACGTTTAGCATTTAGTCCGCCTGATCTATATTTATGAGCGATATTAAATTTAAAACTTTTGAAAAACCAATGACATTTTTATTTTTTGATTATAAATACTTGTTTATAGTTGTCCATGAGATGTTGAAACGCGTTGGCTAAGATTATACCTGTGTTTATAACGTTTCAAGCAATAAAAATGTCGGATCATTTTTATTACTATTAATAATAATAATAATCAGAATATATATATATATATATATATATATATATATATATATATATATATATATATATATATATATATATATATATATATAAATATGTGTGTGTGTGTGTGTGGTGTGTCCCAACAGTCACACTGCGATATGAAAAAAAAGTTGTGAAATAGCAAACAAGAAATTTATATGGCATCATCTTGAATAATTAGACCAATAAAATTTGTCAAATAAATATAAAAATTCACAAGTTTTCAAATGGTAGGGAATTTATATATATATATATATATATATATATATATATATATATATATATATATATATATATATATATATATATATATGTCTGTCCATTTTTTTTCAATAATTTATCATTCATTGACTGGTTTGAAAAATCCTTGTAATTTTTTTTTTCCAATTTTCAAGTTAAGACCATTAACCTAATGTAACCTTAATTCCAATTATTGTTATATATATATATATATATATATATATATATATAATATATGTGTGTGTGTGTGTGTGTAAAGGTATATGTCATATATCAAGTCCCATCGGTTGGGTTCCCCATGCAAAAGTTCGATGACATAACATAATATATATATGATTATCTGCGTATATATCTAATCACAATATATATATATATATATATATATATATATATATATATATATATATATATATATATATGTGTGTGTGTGTGTGTGTGTGTGTGTGTGTGTGTGTGTGTGTGTGTGAATAAAACAAAAGGAAAACGTATCTTATCACATTTCTTCCTCTGATGGACTTTATCAATGCAATTGTAAGGATTTTATTCTGCAACAAATATTTATGATCAGAAATGAAAACACGGCTTTAGTTTATAAACAAGTAATTATAAAAAAATTAAAAAAACATGTTGTTAGTTGGATTTCTGTTTATAAATACTTGTGAAAGAAAAAACTTACATTTTCAGAGGACGAAACATGTCGGCAAAGATAAGTTAACCTTTTTTCTTTGTTTTATATTGTCTTATATATATACTTTTAGTTAAATAGATTTAAGTCAATTATATGTAAGGATATTGAAATAAATATAAAACTAGCCATGGCATTGTATAGTATTTCACACATGTAGACACCAATACTTTCAAACACTGCTACTGTGGACTGGACGATGTTAAAAGTAACGAGAATATATATATATATATATATATATATATATATATATATATATATATATATATATATTGGGAGATGTCCTTAGAAATTTAAAAAACCTCTCCTTGTGCCTGACTTACATTGTGTTTCAATACGTACTTGCATATAATTGACTTAAATCCGTCTAACAAACTGCCACTGACAATTCTTATCATATCTATCTATCTATCTATCAATATATATATATATATATATATATATATATATATATATATATATATATTACGTTTCAGGTTTTGTGAGATTTTATTTCTTAAATATATGTGTGTGTGTATGTGTGTGTACAATGTTTAAACGTAATTAGGATTGTAAAACACTTATACGCCTGCTTAGGTGTATAGACCTGGCTCTCTCACTATATATATATATATATATATATATATATATATATATATATATATATATATATATATATATATATATATATAACAATAACAAAGATTGTATTTTCCACAAAAATCAGTCGACCAGGATGATGTTAAAAGATAATGTATTTAAAGCAAGCATTCTGCAATATTTTCAGAGTCGAGATGTTCAACCGCTTTGTGAGTAAATTTATTTAAGTTGTTATTATTATTGTTAAAATTATCTATTTTTTCACAATCATGTTCAGAATTGTACAAGGCCCAAGAGCCACTCAGAGTAAGAGTCACAGTTTATGCGAATATGTAAGAAAGATAACGGTTAACCCTAGACATTAACAGGTTAAATGATTGATTGTTTGATTCTTTTTCTACGGTTTATCGACCCTTTTCAGGTTATTTAAAACCAGAAAATATTTTTTATTGTAAAATTTTTGTTTTCGACGGAGGGAGACAATGATGGTGCAAGTCTTACTAATTAACCCATAGCTAGAGGAGAAGAGGTGGATTCTTATCTTTCGTAAGGCACGTAATTGAATATAATGAACCCAACGAGATATTTAAACTCCGCTCTTCGATTAACATTATTTATTTACCGGAGGGTACAACAATCAAAAGGTTGTGACAAGAACAACAAAGATGAGGATAATAGTCCAAGTATAAATAGTGGAAATAATGATAACCCATCATCCCAGAAATTCTTACATAAAAAAATAGTTACACCGCCCACACATCCAAGCTTACAGCACCTGGTGTTCCCAAGCGGAACCGATTTAGTTACTGACCTGGCTCAACGTTGCTTAACTTCAGTGATTGTACGGGAACCGGTGTCACAACGTGTTATGGCCGTAAGCCCTTGTATTTGTTAAGGTTGTAGTAATTAAAAGAAATATGTATTTGTATGCACAAAATTGAACAAGAAAATGAATTTACAATCTTTTTCTTTTTTTTTTTTTAGCTATAACTATTTTTTGTCTGAATTTCTGGGATGAGGAATTTCTAAGATGAGGAATTTCTAAGATGAAGAATTCCTGGGTTGAGGAATTATCATTATTTAGACTATTTATATTTGGTCTATTGTTCTCATCCTTGTTGTTATCAAAACGTTTCGGTCACTGTGCCCTCCGGGATTTCGCAGCTACATAAAATTTGCAACTGAACACTTTATTCAATCTACAGGTGTAGACTGTTCTCATTCTACTCCCCATGTCTAGGGATATCTTATCTAGTTATTATTTTTAGTATTGCTCAGTTCATTGTCGCCCGTTTCCGCTGAGTACAAGTACACACGGCCGACCTAGGTTTGAACTCACAACCACTATGTCAGCAAATTCATAAAACAACGTTTCCGTGACATGGTGGTGAGTTCAACCTCGAGGCCGGGCAGTGTGTACTTGAACTGAGTGAAAACGGGCTAGCAATAGCTGAGCAGTTTAAAAAATATTACTACTGTGACGTCACCGCGTCTGCCTCTCTGCCCCGTTGCCGTCCTGTCTTGTGACGACCAATATGACTTGGTATTGGTCGCGGCACCAAATGTGACGTTCTAACCTCTTGCTGATTCGGATGGGAATCTGGTTAGATTTGGTACCAGCCTTGTCGTTCCCAGCTCGCCTCCAACGTCTGGTTATCGAAGTAACTGCTTTGATTTCTAGTCTAACCTACCAACGTTGTGATTTGATCTTAGGTTGACGAAATCACTCAGTCGCCGGGCCACAATGCAAGTCGAGTCCGAACAAGGGTAATACCGCACACGTATATGTAAAAGAAAATAAAGTAATAACTCGAAAAGTTCAAATGTGTTAAAAAGGATTAACAATATTTGATATCTGGTTGCTGTTTCTCCCAACACGCTTATATGGATACGTGACACTTTGCGTTTGTTAGGCGAGTCTTAACATCTTAAGTTGTTTTTCGATATCTGGTTTTTGGTGTCTTCAGGCAATATTCGTAAAACAGGTTTTGGTGGTGTGAGTCTAAGTTGTTCTTCAAAAATAAATTGTTCTTGGTTAGAAGTTGAGGTTGTGATTGCGTGGGAGCTTTCAGTCAGCTTTCTGCGAGGTGGGTCTCAGGGTTCACAGCTCAACTCTGCCAACTGCGTCTGTGTTGCTCACTCTGCAACTGCCTGCCTGTCTCTTCAACCCCAACTCTACTCTACTGCCGTCCACTCGCTGAGACTCTGCTTATATGGACGCCGACCAAAACCGGGGTGGGATTGTCGGGGTTTGAGGTTCCTTGATAATTCTAAATCCACAATAAGGATCTTCTTTGTTTTTTGGTCAGGAAAATTTATTACTTTCCTTTTTTGGAAGTCCTTACTTTCTACTTAAAGGGAATCGTCCTCACAAATTCTTCCTTTCTCATATTGGTATCTCACACCAATCCCCTCAGAGGGCGTCAACAGGTTCCGCTCTCTCTCACAGTGTCATCTCACACCAATCCCTTCAGGGGGCGTCAACAGGCCTCCCCTCCTTCTTCATAGTTTACCTTCGCCTACCGCTCACGCCACCCTTCAGCCAATGAACGCTCAGCAGCGTGGGTGTTTGCAATTATCGCTCAGAGAAAAAAAAATTATCTTTTTTTTTCCTTTTTTTCTCTTCCACGAGCAGACCTCACACGACTCGTAGGATGGTCTCTAATCTCTATCTTAACCGAATTTCATCTGGCGTTCGTCAACGAGATTTTTGAGGTTGGTCAATGATTTTCCGCACTCTGTCGCCAATTATCTGTTCCGATAAAATAATTTTTCTATCATGGCCAGCTCTAACATAAAACAGGTGTTTTTCCCAAAATATATCTTCGCAGATGGTTAATGGTTTAATCTTTCCTTCTTTGTAACTTGTGGGTGGTCCAGCGGACATTTTTCTCGGTCAGAGCGTGACCTAATTAATATTATCTCTTAGCATTCTGTTTTGTAGGTCACTTGACCAATTTGAAATTTTCATTATTGCCATGGGCAGACGGCTATCTTTTATTCGCTCCGTCGTAACATAAATCAAATTAAATCCGACAGACCCGAGATCTTACTTTCTTTTCTAATGAAAATAAAATCTTTACCACTTTTCTTTGTTAGAAAAAATAACATCGCTCAGTGTCTTTTCGTGATAGCTTCTTATCACCTAAATTAATTCTCGCCCTCTTTTTTCACGCAACCCTAAATAGTGTCACACTATCTAAAAATATTTCCTGATTTTAAATAACCTGCAAAAGGTTGATAAGTCTTAAAAATAAATAAAATTTTGTTTATATATTTACAAAAATCATGCCTATAGCTAACCGCATTTTCAGAAAAAAACGCTAATATTACAAATGAGGGAATTTATGAAATTTATTTAAAATAGTTATTATATATTTTTTCAAAAATCCTTATTATATGCTTACGAAACATAAGAACAAGACGAGATATCCCTAGACACGGGCTTTGGAACGAGAACAGTCTACACACGTAAATCATATAAAGTGTTCTGTTCCGAATTCCCTGTAGGTTACCCAGATCAATATACACACGAGGAAGTCCGTAGGGCACAACGATCAAAAGGTTGTGATAATAACAACAAAGATGAGGACAATAGCGCAAATGTAAATAGTGAAAATAATGTTAACCCCTCATCCCAGTAATTCAGATATAAAAAATATTAAAGTTAAAAAAAGTTTTTCTATTCATTAATTTTGTGCATTCACCTTGGGAAAATATTGCATTGGCCCCATTAATCGGACTGTTATCATCTTCATTGTTATATTGACAACGTTTCTTCTGGCCTTCTTCAGGTGATTGGAATTTCGACCCGAACACTTTATTTCGTCAACTGGGGTATATTGTTCTAGTTCCACGTGCCCCCCCCCACTTCTGGATGTCTCAGTTATTTCTCTTTAACTTAATTCTCTAAGTTTTGGTTCACCACTGGGGCGGCTTTGTATTGAACTCACAACTCTTTGGGTCTAGTCACTGGAACTAACCAACGTCTTTATTCCAATCACCTGAAGAAGGCCAGAGCGTACAACGACGGAAACGTTGGGAATATGGCAATGAAGATGAGGATAACAGTCCGAATAATGTAAATAATGCAAGCAATCATAACACCTCATCTCAGAGATATAGACAGATACTTGGAAAAGGTATAAATTCACCTCTTCTTCACCTATCTGCGGGTTAATTAGTAGGGCTTGTATCAGTAAATCATTATTATTTAAAAAAAATTCTTACACTCTAAAATTATTTATCTGGCTTTAAATAACCTGCAAAGGGTTGATAAGACATAAAATTGAATGAATCAAACAAATTCTGATTAGGTACACAGGTATGTCTTTTAGATTTATTTACATACTCTGGAAAGCTCTGACGAAGTTTTAATAAACGTGAAACGTTAGACTGATAAACGTTTCCTATTTTTTCTTTATCTTATCATTACCTGGAATATGAATGTGTAGAAACTACAGTGGTCACAAAGTGAGGGATCAGTTTACATAATGGCTACAATATAAAATTGATCTCCCTTTTTATACACGCATTATAATTTCTTGTTTATTTATCAAATTCTGATTACCTCCTCTCTCCCCAGCTATGGGTTAATTAGTAAGATTTGTAACATTAAATCATTATTATCTAAAAGAAAACTCCTTCCAAAAAAAATTCCAAATAAAAATGATGTAAACAACTGACGTGTATTTCCACGTATAAGGCGACCCATAGATAAGATGAGTCCCAAAATGTAGGTAAATTTTCGTGATTTTATCTGATATCCGTAGTATAAGACGACAGACTTGGGACACAAAACTGAAAGTGACGATGTTCATCATGAGCTCTTTGCATCAGATCAGGATTATCATAGTAATTTTGAGGGGTTATAATTATGCATGGAGGTCCCTGGGAGGCACAGTGGAGTAATGGATAGCGGCTCGGATTGAGGAATCGGATTGCTGAGTTCGAATTCCAGTCGAATCCATTACATTCACTTACGTGCTAATACTCTTAGGAAAGGCATGAATCCACTTTTTCTCCCCCCAGTTATGGTTAAATAGCAGGACAGACAGGCTTCTATAGCCTTGGATGGAAACTGGTCTATCGCAGAAAGAAATGGCAACCTACCGCGGAAAAAAAAACCTGCCTCGTTTGTCATGTATCGAAAGATACATGATCGCTAAGCGTGTATCACAGATGGCACATAATTGACTGATGGAGGTGTCATGTTTTTTTTGTTCTGTAATGAGAAATAAATATTTTATGAACTCTTAAAAAACCAAAATATATACATAAATAAATAAATCGTATAATGTATGCTATTGAAAAATAAAGTTTGCATGTTATACTAAACGTTCTTGTTATTTAACACCCCAATGATAGTGGATTTTAATTAGAAATATAGATTATATGTTATCCTAAATGTTGTTATTTAACACTACTATGAGAAATAATGATTGGTGTGATCGCACCCATAGCTCTACATCTGAAGAACAGAAGATTTGTTTACGTTACTTGTGATTTGTGCTTGTTGCTCAGCAGAACCTTTGCAAATCATTTCTTGAATATAATATTTTAATGTGAAATCAAGAAGTAAAAATAGTCTTATTACAACTGTCGTACATCATTATAATGTGGATTGTTTCAACTAGAAATATTTATACCGGTAGTTACCATATCGAGGCAGTTGCTAGCCTATCGCAACCCATGGCGCAAGCATACTAGACTACATACCAGTGCCGTTTATTTATTTAAATCCCCCCCGACCCGCTGAGTCAGGTTGTGACACAAATGTCGGTTTTTAACTCAGGCCGCTGGTCCAAGCTGGTCAGAGCTGTTCTAAGCTAGTCATAGCTGGTTTTGGCTTGTCCTAGCTGGTCCAGACCCGAGCCGG